CATAGGGACATATACAGTGAAGCTCACTGGAAGTCTGGACATCATTCACAGAACTACTTCAGCAAATGCTTCTTTAGTAACAAATCTCATTCCTCCTCTTCCAGTATCAGTGTAGTATATTTGCTGGCAAAGTCCTGTTTCTTTTCTGCTTGCTTAGCTGATCCATGGCTAATCTTTTTAGAGTGGTGTTGGTGGGGTGACAGTTCAAGACCAGATGACAGTGTGGAGACTAAATTAACGTGGATACCAGAACACTTTAATTACACAGGCATGCAATTTTGCAACTTCCCAGCTTGGTGGGAGATGTGATGTGCCCCAGAAGAAAAATCATAAGAGTTAGTGTGGTAGTTCCAACTCTGCTGTTTGTAATCCTGGTGCAGGAATGAGGGGTCCCCTAAATTGTTTTCCCCTTCTTATTTTAGATGCTGTCAGTTACAGGACAGTAGAGAATATCTGATTCTCATTTGACCTGTTCAGTTTTACTCAGGGCCAGACAATTGGACATTGTTTGTTATCAGTGGTGCACACAGTCTGCTTGTCTTAAAGGTTCTCCAAGTGTGTGTTTCATAGCATTTTCTTAAATAAACTAGGAAAATATGATGTCTAAATCTACAAGAGAAAGGTAATTTCCCTTGATCTGAATAGACTGAAATGCTTTGTTCCTGTGCCTGCTAAGAGGGGGGAAAAACAAAACAACAACAAAAAAGCATCAAAGCTTGAATAGTAGAAGCTGGAGAAGACAAATTGCAATAATACGGGTAGAATTATCCTTTTTAATTATATGCTACATGTTGGTGTTTGGCCTTTTTAAGTCTGCTGAAGTTGTTTGGGCAAGTTCAGTATCCTTTGCTCCTTGTTCCTATGTGCTTATATGATTTCTTACCCTTTGCTTTTAGTGCTGTCTGAGGCTGCAGCAAAGGCTAGATTGAGAGAGAACTGATGATTCTTTCTTCTGTCTGAGAAATTTAAATGGTGACTGGTTAACCCGGGATTGGAGTTGACCCTATATTTACTTTATACAGAGATTTACTGGGAACAGCTGAATGGGAGTGAAATATTTACCTGAGTGGCAAGTGGGTTTTGTCTTCGTTATTTGTCTGTTAATGGTTTTTACTGGTCATGTAATACCTGATTCAAAGTTGGTAAGCCCCTTGTAGGAGAAGGAGGCTATTTCTGATATTAGCCAGACGGTGGCATAATTTTTTTTTGTTATGTCTGCTAGCCAGGCAAATGAATCATGTGAGTTCAATTTACATTTATTGGTATTTTTAAGATAATTCCAATTTACATGTAGGAACGTATGCTGGAAAATGTCATACCTAGTTTCTTTGTAGATAGTCTCAGAATGGGGCTTTTCTACATTTGGTTGCTCTGAGAGATTTAAACTCTTTTGTGTGGTTTTAATTCAGTGGGAAGAAGGTATTTGTCAGGAAAAATCTGCTGAAAGATGCATAAAATCCCTGTATCCTCCCCCAAAAAGTGGATTAGTTTTCTGTAACACTGCTTGCTCTCCTATTTGACACATTTTTCATCATCTCCAGCTGTTTTAGGCTTGAATTCTGTTTAAATTATGACATTAGCCTATGTCATTCTTTTTTTTTTTTTTTTTTTTTACAGTCCTTGCCTTATTTCATCAGAAAGCATTCTAAACTGGGATTGTGTCAGGTTTAATTACTTCAGTGAAATAGAAGATGTCAATTATAGCAATGGAGAAGCCATAGGAGAGGTGTTACAGTGTTTTTTAAGTCCCACTGAATGAATTGTCTGAACTAAAATGTAAAAGAGTAGTCTTACTATTATTATTTAGATCAGTACTCCATGTTTTGGATTCAAATACTTAGGCACAAAATGGGTGTTATAAACACCTGACTTGAGGAAGTGGGTGTCTTTTGTAATACTCTGTTGTTTCCTTATTTTGCTTTATCATGCTTAGTAAATCACTGAAGTTTGAATATGTGATGATTTGTTAAGAAACTGTCACATAATCTGTTGAATTTGGTGAGAGGATAGCTTGATACATCTGAAAACTTAACATTTAAATTACATAAGTTAAATTACATAACAGGTTTTGATTGTAATTTAAACCTCTGTCAGGCTTTGTTTGTATCTTGAGTGTGACAGATTGAATGAATGAGGTTGGTTGTCGGTGTATTCTTTTTTTTTAGACTTTATTTGATAATCAGATTAATGCTGCAAAAAAGGAAGACTCAGAGAGCATTAATAAAAATGACACTTCAAAGAAGATGTCTGTTGAGAGAGTTTATCAGAAAAAGACTCAGCTTGAGCACATCCTCCTCCGTCCAGATACCTACATTGGATCAGTTGAACCATTAACTCAGGTAAGTGTCACTAAGTTTACAGTCTTAATTTTTGTTGTTTTAATGAGGAAATGACTATTTGGGTTAATAAATAGTGAAATCTCTACTTTTCTAGAGACATGAATAGATGATAGTATTCTATCATGCTAAAACCTGTGGTCATATTTATGTTTGCATATGTAGGAAAGGGTCAAGAGAAGACTTTTGAAAGCAGTGCTTGGTTGTCCTGAAAAAAACATGCTCAGAAAATATTGAAGTTCAGTAAAAACATAAACACACACCTGTGTGTGTAAACACACAGTTATGTGTGTATATGTCTGTGATTACAGATGTGTCTATAGGCACAAAAATATGTGTATGTATCTGTAAGTACCATTTGCTCCACATCCAGAAATGCTTTGGTCTGTTTATTTAGGTAGACAACAGAGAATTTAAGCATCCTGCTGGCACTTTTTTCAGCTGTTTTTGTGAAGATGCTTTGAACTTTGCTGTCGGTACTGTTGGAGTACCAAGGAGAAAATAATGCGTTTTCATTATGGAAGTCTTTGTGGGTACTGTTGTAATTTTTGTCAAATTTTTGTTTCTGCTTTTGTCTTATGTGACAGAAGCAATCAGATTGGAAAAGTTCCTGAAGTAAATAGATCTTATAGAATCATAGACTTGTTTATCAAGACAATAAATATTTTATTTTATTTTGTTTACATGTAGTTAATGTGGGTTTATGATGAAGATGTAGGAATGAATTGCAGAGAAGTTACCTTTGTTCCAGGCTTGTACAAGATCTTTGATGAAATCCTTGGTAAGTATTTTTAACAATAATATTTCTTTAGCATTATGAAGTACACACTTTTCTGAGAGTTCTCAAAGCACATTAATTTGTATCTAAGTGTATGTCACAGATTTGGAATCCCACTAAACTGCAGTGCATGAAAATTGTAACGCATTCCAGCACTACAGAACAGTTTAAAGAGGGAAGAGTGTTTTCAGTTGAACTTGTAAGAGACTGTAAATATTTGTTACTAGATGTCTAAACTAGATCAGTCTTTATTATCAATATTGTTAAAAGATTTTTAATCTGCAAAGTTGATCAGGACCAAAGTTTTAAGTCACATTTGAAAGAGGATTATTCTGCTGAAAGCAGACAACTGGAAGCTGTGTAAGTGTTAATGATTCATGAGATGATGTTTTAAGTTAAAACTACCTCCTTCTGTACAAAATGATAGTCGTAGTGATGGCGATTCTTACATGGGTCATTTCTAGACTTCAGACAGTTTTAAAACTAATAAGTATCGTAGTGCCATTTAAGAGCATGGTGACTGAGGCACAAACAAATTATTTTTAGAAAATTCTGTCCTAAGTCCCTGAGTCACTATGACTTACTTCTTGATGATATTCTCTTGGTGGCAGGCACACCGTGAAGACTAACCAGCAGTAGAGATGTGCTGAACAGTGTGCTGTCTACTGAACTGATATTTTGGGTTCATTGCCATGAATTCTTGAGTTAATCAGTTCTTATGAAGTTGTAGGGTAAGGATTGGCAGGATTACATCATAAACTAAATTATAGTCTATTGAGGTCAATGGAAATTTTGTAATGAACTCCATTGGGTTCAACACTTATTTACACCTCTAAAACTGCTTTGCATCATTGCTGTCTGGGAGGCAATAAAGACTATATGGCCAGGTGGAAAAGAATGATTTTCAGTTTTTGTTTTTTTACTCATTACTTAATTTGAGAAATAAGGGAATGAAAATCATCTGTCACTTCTTTTTTGAGTGCTGCCTCACAGATGAAATCGGTGAGCTTTTCAGAGGAGGGAGTCACTTCCATCTTGTCCCATTCAAATGGAAAATTGCCGTATCATTGTCAGAGACAGTATGGCTTATTGCTTCTCTGCGTAGCACTGATACGTGCTCCACAGAGGGCGGTTTGAGAGCTCGGGGTCAGTCATGGAATAACATTACGAAAACTGGACGCTGTAGCTATATGTACTTTTTAATGAAACTGCACTTAATGATTTTAGCAAAAGCACCTTGATATCTGATCTTGTATTGAGGTCCTTATAATCTGTTAAGATATGTTAATTTTAATTGATGTATCTTCGTGTCCTTTGGTGGTTTTGGGTTTTATTTTGATCTGTTTCATGGATGATGAGACTAATACTGGAAATGACTGAAACGTGTTTTCATGGTTAATGGCCATAGTCACATTTCTGATTTCTGGTGTTTGTAGTTAATATACACTGGAGTGCAGTTTAATTAAATTCTGATCTAATGTTAACTTCCAGTTATCCTACTTTTGATCCTAAACTGTTTAGGAACTCAATACAACTGCTAGATATAAGTGTCACAGATTCTTTAGAGATAACTTTTGCTACAATCAAAACACTCCCTAATGGATGTGATTTTTTTCTGGATTGAGTTTTGGTGGTAAAAGGATTTGTAAACTGATCTGGTGATGCATATAATTTCCTAAGGTTTTTAACATACGTGGTGGCAGATGTGCAATAAATACCCAAACAAGTGCAGCAGCAGAACTATGAAGTGTTCTGTATGTTAAGAGCAATTATGAGAACAGGCTCACAAAATACACATCTGTATTTCTAAGATAGTCTAACTGCTAGAAATAGTCAGTAATTATAAAAAGGTTGAAAAATACCTTCTTGCAGATACTTAGTCCTATTTGTAGACTTCAGTAATAAGATACAGAATATACAAAAAGATACCAGATGAAGAAATACCTGGACCATTGTAACTTGTGGTGGAATATGTATATAATCAATTTTACAGATCAAGTAATTAATTATTGCTCACAGAAAGTGTTAATTTCTGCTACTTTGTTTCACAGTAAATGCTGCTGACAATAAGCAGAGGGACAAGAATATGACTTGTATTAAAATATCCATTGATCCGTAAGTAAAAGCGTGTTTTAATTTACTTTCCTTGCCAGTGCTGTTGTTCAGATTTGTACAAATTATTTTACTAAATGAAATTAGATTTAAAAAAAAAAAAAAAAACAAAATAATATTTTTGGAATTATTTACATTAGCTTCATATTTTAAGATGAAAAGGTGAATTAGAAGTGGTTAACAGTATAGTACTACCACTCTGAATTTATAATAATTTGCTTTCCTAATCACTCATTAATATTTGAATGAAGCATAAAACCAGGAGATTATAAAATTCATGATTAAGTGAAAGCTTGTCAGTACATAACTGGAACCAACCAGGTTACTTGTAAATGATAAATACCCACCTTGATGTTTTGTAACATGATTTTGCACCTCTTGAGCTTCCATGTGAACTCCTTTGACATTAGGCTAAAGATATGTTCAAATTAGTCAGCTGTATCACACTGGAACTGCAGATTGCAAATATGTCATTACCACTGGTTTTTGACATTGAATGCTTAAAGAGATATTTCTCCATGAGAAGTATTGTAGTTAAATAGATGTTGATTGGGTTCCTTTAGTAGTACCTTTTCAGTGACATTTAATTCAATAATAAATGTTTTAGAGACCTAATTGTCACATCTATTCTTTAGGATAAATATACCAAGAAATAATTTTTCTACAAGTGTTCAGTGTCAGTTTCTGTAGACCAAATTGTTTTTATCATGGAGTGGGAGGGAAATGGCAGTGTAAATCCACCTGACCTACCATGATTTTGAGCTCTGTAATAGTCCAAAAAGAAAATTCTATATGAGAGCTACAAGTATTAATGATGCCAGATTTGATGGATTTTGGCATTGATGTGGAAAATAAGTTACATGTTTATCATAACTGGGGAAAAAACCAGTTTTAAACAGATGATAACTTGGCTGTGTCTGGGTGGACTTTAATGAAACCTAAAAAGCTACATCTCTAACTTAAGTATAATTCGGTCACTAAACTTCAGGGTTCTGTTGCAGATCATGTTGATAGTGAAAGCTCTTCAAACAGATTTTTGGGGGATACAAAATACTGTCGTGTATGGGCAATTGTGCTTCTTCTTCAAAGACATGTAATGAGCACAAAGTGTGTTTTCTTGTAATTAAAATTGATAGAGCTGTGAATAAATATGTTAAGAATATTGTCTTTTATAGTATTTTATGTGGTTACTTAATGGGTAAAACGTATGCAGGAGTCTTGTTTTCAAGATTACATTAACTGGCTTAGTGTCTTCACTATTTTATAGGGAATCAAACATTATCAGCATATGGAATAATGGAAAGGGTATACCAGTTGTGGAGCACAAAGTAGAAAAAGTATATGTACCTGCTTTAATCTTTGGGCAGCTGCTAACGTCCAGCAACTACGATGATGATGAGAAAAAAGTTACAGGCAAGACTGTTTAAGATGCTTTGTTTTATTAAATTAAGCCATTGTTTGCTTTTCAGTATGCTTTTTCTTCTTACTTTCTCTCTTTCTATTCTGTTTCATAACAGGTGATTACTTAGTCACCAATACTATAGCTCTGTTAGAGTAAAATGACTTAAAGAAAATTATTCTTTTTTTTTAGTATCAGTGTTTACTGAGAACTTTACATATACGTCTTTAATATCAGTACTCATTATTCAGTAACAAACAACATATTTTAATTATAATATGTGCAAGCATTTAAACATTTATGCTCTTGAAATGAAGGGAAAAAATACATTTAATAAATCAGGGTATAATTTATTATCCTAAATGTGAAGTAACTCTAATTTAGATCATGGATGAAAGTTAGTTTTGTTCTATCCTACCCCATATATTTTGCCCATATTATGATGTGTGGTGCCGAGTGCTTTGGATCTGATCCTGACCTAGTTTTCAGCTGATCAGGGTGTTGAGGTCAGTTGCCTTGCAGCAAGCAGCTGGTAGATCAACCTAAGGGAAGCAACGGGAGCATCCTGGCCTTGGGGGAGGAGCAAGCTGCTCATTTTTCAGGCAGAAGAAGTTGCAGCAGGTTGGAGGTAGTGTGAAATGCCATCTCTGGCATCCTTTGAGAGCTGTGTAGCCCAACTTTTGTCTTATAAGGGAACATTTTACTTCACTGGCATACTCTCTGAATATCATAAATATGGCTGTGCTGTAAAAAACTTACTGCGTGTTGTTTTTTCAGGTGGACGCAATGGCTATGGCGCCAAACTTTGTAACATATTTAGTACAAAGTTTACAGTTGAAACTGCTTGCAAGGAGTACAAACACAGCTTTAAGCAGGTATAGAAATGATGTCAACTTTTTTCCTTTCCTTTGCTGTAATTATAAATTTAAAATTTAACTTATTTTCTATATTTCATTAATATTTCATGAAATGAATCATTTAACATTCAAAGACATGTGTAGGGTTTGCAGGCTAGGTAGTTCAGTCAGTAAAATTGGTGTTTCTGTGTGTTAGGATTTTTTTTTTGTTCTGTTTTTTGTTGGGAGTGTTAAATGACTAAAAATGAAACCCAAATTTCTTCTATTAAAACTAAAGTATATTCATGTGCATGTGAAAAGGAATATATTTAATTGAAACATCTTGTAATTGCTGCTGTATAATTTGTAAAAAAAAATCTTTCTCCTTAGCCATGCAGTTATCTAGATAATTTTTTTTTAGTGTTAAGAAAAAGATTTCTCGTGTTTGTCCTGAATTTCATTAGACTGGCTGGACCTGGGTGCAAACCCCTCTCCTTCCCCACTTGTACTCATTGCTCATTGTTATCATTGCTAGCACACAGACCAAGGAGTCAATGTGATCTGATCCAACTGTATGTAGCTTTGAGATGGCCACCTTTCTAAAAGTTCTAAGAACTTCGTTATGGTATTAGTCACAAAAACTCCTTGGCTTTGGAGCCTTTCCCAGTTAGTGGCTTCCTTCTCTTTTTTTTTTTTCTGGACAAGTGATTAATTTCTGATTACATCACTACATGAACAGTACTTTTCAATGGTTTTACCTGTCTCTTTAAAAATGAAATATTTTCTGTTGACTGCCAAAAAGCAAGTTAATATTGGTATGAGACTTTCTGAAAATGACATGCTTTATGACTTATATTGGAAAACATGGCACTTTATTTTTTTCAAAAATGGTGAATATTTAATACAACTTAACTTTGAATAATGCTGTGAGTAGGTGTTTTGCTTGGTCTTAGAAACATGCCTGTGTTCTTAAACAGGGAACAATACCAAGGCTATTGAGTCAAGTCCAAGCAAGTTGGTTTGTCAAGAAGTGTCCTTTGGGACACTGCACAACCACTAACGTGCTCTCTCAGAGATGACTGAGTCCCTGCACAGGGACTAATAAACTTATTTATTGAAGTGTGTAGTAGATTGAAAGTGTTAAACTGATGGGCAGTAAAGGCTGTTTAGCCAGCTCATGCGTATCTAATTTAGTTAGCTCTGTGGTGAGTTCTGTTTGCATCAGAGTCATGTCCATTAATGTAATAATATTTGCATTTTTACAGAAACCACCAATCTGCTGTCACTAGTGCTGGTGCAGATCTTGGTGAAGCAATTGATTTTATGCGTAGTGTTTTACCAGGGGAAACTTCTAAAAGAAGTCTGTGAGCTTTTTGTTGTGTAGCTATTGCAGTCCTAACATAGCTGAAAAATGGAAGGAAGGAGGATAATGTGTGTTGTAAACTAACATGTAAAATCTTTTGTTTTCAAAGACTTGGATGAACAATATGATGAAGACCTCTGAACCCAAGATTAAGCATTTCGATGGTGATGACTACACATGCATTACATTCCAGCCAGATCTAGCTAAATTTAAAATGGAAAAACTCGATACGGATATTGTGGCCCTCATGACGAGAAGAGCATATGATTTGGCTGGGTCGTGCAAAGGAGTCAAAGTCATGTTGAATGGGAAGAAATTACCTGTAAGAGGCTCAGTTAAAATATTTTAAGTACTCAGTATTTTATGCAAAGAATAGTAATTGTGATCTGTATTACTCATAGGTAAATGGATTTCGCAGTTACGTAGATCTTTACGTAAAAGACAAGCTGGATGAAACTGGAGTTGCACTCAAAGTTATTCATGAAGTCGTGAATGAACGATGGGATGTGTGCCTCACTTTAAGTGAAAAAGGATTTCAGCAAATCAGCTTTGTAAATAGCATAGCTACCACAAAGGTGAGTAGTTATATTAAATGATAAAAATGTAAATGACAAAAATGAATGCTAAGGTTATGCTCAGTCAGACATTTGATTAAAAAAAAATACATCTGGGTTACTAAAAAGAAATAGCTGAGATAATGCTTTGCAAGAGAAGATCTGGCAGAGTAACTGAATGTAATCAAAATACATTCATAGCAATATTTCTGAATATGCACTAGTTTGTAAAATGCTAGTAATCATTATCAGTGATACTGATGTCTTATGTGAACATACATGGTATTGATAAAAAGAAAATAAATTGAACTATTCTATTCCTTCCTTTTTAACACATTGTAATAAAATAATTCTGAAATTAAGTTAGAAAAAATGTACAAACCCCTTTAAAGCTAGTAGTAGTAAGTTTTGGAGGGCAAAAATGGCTTTTGGTGTTCTTGAAAAATGGCTTTCCATTTATTACTTTATGATGTATAAAACTGGCCTGAAATGTAGAGATTAATTTTCTTTAGTGTTTCTATATAAGGGGATCTAGGTGTTCTCTGTACTTATTAGCAACTATAGTAGTAGTGAAGTGGTATCATAGTAAATCTTCAATTAGGATGAACCAGCAATATCCTCAGCATACTCAAGTCCAATCTTTTGCTTCTCAAATTGCTGGGGCGGTCAAGCACCGAGGCAATCGCCTGAAATCAACTGGCATAACTGTCATTTATGCCAGTCATGGCCCAGGTTTAGGAATCTGGAATCCAGCATGGTGAAAGAAAGTCTTTGTCATTTCTGCTCTTCACAGTTTGCACCAGATGAGTCATCTAACAACAGTCAAGCAATTCTAGTGATTGTTGAGGCTGGTTTTAGGGAATCTTAACCATGAGCTTCCCCAGAAGATGAGGTAGATAAGAATTTTAATCAGACACTTAAAAATCCCTCCTTGCTCAGATCTCTTCTAAAAGAGTCAAACAGAAGAAAATTCTAATGGTAGCACAAGTGATTTATAAACACCAGTGGTTACACTAAGTGGAGTCCCTAGTCTAGGCAGTTGCCCAGAAATATCAGTGTTAATCTTGGTAGCAGATGATGTGTAGCCAGTGTTTTGGCGGAATATAATTTTTACTACATCTTCCAGTGTCATTTTCAGTGTAGCTGAACCAGTGTTCAGATGTAGGAGGGAAAGTTTATTTCATTCTAGAATAAATTCTTTCTAAGTGTGCATTTTAATTAAATGCTTATCTGATATTTGTCAAAACTAGGGATAACAAACGTATCTGGTAGCTGAAAGGTTAAAATTTAGTTTTAATTCAGGCCTCTTTATGCAACATAAAGAAGAAAAATAGCATGACCTTAAAGATGGATACAGTATATTTATGAAGAAGCTGGCAACGTAGAGAAGCTTGATAATGCTTGATCATCAGCTGAAGAAAATGTATTTGAAAAAAAAGACTACTTACCGACTCCTAAGTTAAATATATTGCATACACTTACTCAAAAGATTTTGAATTTGACTCTTTTGGATCAATTTTCACCCATCATGCAGTTACACATACATTGTTATATATTATTTAAGAAAATTCATAGAAAAAGTTCTGTGTATTCTTCAAAGGTAAGTGTTGTAATTTCTAGTTTTTCCCACTCTCCCAATCCATGCCTTATGTGTGTGACTGGATGTGGAATGTTCGGGCCGGTGAACCACCTCACCAGCAATTGATGTGCAGCTACCCACTGATGAGACATAATGGCTAGTAACTAACTGCGTCAACTGCCTGTCCCCTTATCTGCTAACAGGTGAGGAGCTCATTTCAGCTGTTTTTGGTCATTTATCGCTGTTTGCTGAAAGCTTTTCATTTCTGTTTCTGGATAAATTTAACCCAGTCATAACTTCCCTTCCACCTTTTTTAAACTTGCTTTAAATTCCAAACAGATTTATTTTTTTTAGGTTGATAGGGTTGTTTTGTTTTGGGTTGGTTTTTTTTTCTGAGGGATGTGCAGAAGGTCAGGCAGTATGTTGAGGCACAACTCCCTTGTTTTGTTCTTGCAAATTTGTTACCTTGGTCGGGTCTCTGTTTATTCACAAGTTTGCCACAGTAGACCACCACAGAATTTGAGTTCAGGCTCTGAGGCAGCATTTGAAAGAATGTTTGTAGCTATTACAGTTGCGCAGAAAACCTTTTGGTAAGACTTGTGTATAAACTGGTTAAACATGGTCTTCTCAAGTTCTCAATTTCAGATTGAGAACTTTCAGCTGTAGTAGAAATTGGAGTAGGAATTTCAGTTATTAAGGTAACCAGCTAATGATATTTTTTAATATGGTGGCACTGCTAACTGTAATACTACTAATCATTTTAGCAGAAATGCTCAGTTAATACAGATGCAGTGTCAGAGAGTAGACTAGGGTGGAGGGAGCAGCCCAACCTGTTAAAATTTGCTAGAGTTCAGCAAAAAATTCAGAACTGTTCCAGAGCTTGACGTTTTCAGATTTATTCTAATAAAATAAACATAATAGAAAACAAATGCAAAAGAAAATAGGATTTTATTTGTATAGCTAATTCAGTGAAAATTTCAAATTTATATTTAGGTTCTGAATTTGTTTGCCATATGAACCATTTATCTGTCCATAGAATTTAAATATGGCTTACCTTCAAATTAATTGAGGCTGTTGGCTTTTGATGAAAATATTAATAGAATGTATATAGAAGCCAGTTTAAGCTTCATTTTTAAGATTTTAGTTATTACCATTTCATTAGATGTCTTTGCATCCTGAAGTTTGCAAGACTAGAATCCAGTCATAATTGTTACCTTCTGGGAAAAGACGGTTATGCAGTTTTAATGCTCTTTCTCCTGATACAGTAGGAGATACATGATACATGATAATCATGAACAGCCCTCTAGGTTTCGAGAGTATTTTTCTTTTTCTGTCTTGTATGAACTGTGCTGACAGTTGGGGCAGTTATAGGCTGTTATGCTTCTGTAGTGGGTAAATGTGCCACCTACTGGTGAGATGGTTGAAAGGTTCCCAGCTCTGAGCTCTGAACATCCCTCACTCAATGCTACACACTAAGAATGGACGCAGGAATGGGGAACTGTTAGAGTAACTAATAACTTCTTAGAAGAAGAATTACTGGTAAGTAACTAATTTTTGATGTGTCAGATGTTAGTTTTAGCAAAGTATTTGAAGTGCTAAATCTTCAGAAACAATTGCTAAAGTTGTAAATACAAAAATATACTGAGATATTCCTGTAAGCATAAGTCTTCAGTAATGTGATGAGTAAAAGTAATGCACTTTAAAATAGCCATTCAAATGTGGAATGCTTTTTAAACATGTAATGTGATATTTTCCTGTCGTAGCTTTTCTTTACAGTTTGGAAATGGCTTTATTTTTCTTTAAAGTGGCAGGATGTTGATATATCAACTTTCACTTGAACTCTCCTATGATGAAACTCTCCCATCCATATGTGAATAAAAACTATTGTGTTTTAATTCTGATGGATTTTGATTATTTTATTTTTTTTTTTAAGAAGAAATGCTGTGAAAAAATGCTTGTATATATGGTGCTTCTAAAGCTCACTAGGGGTTTGTGTTGCTGTTTAGTAGGTGGCTCTAGAGACTGACAGAAACCGTATATGGTTTCTTCAAAGTGCAAGTACTGGTTTTCGTTATGACTAATAATATTTACCATGTCTCTTTTCTTTTAATCTCTTCTTTCTACATGAAATTGAGTACACAGCTGCTATCTACCATCAGTTCAGACACTTTACATCATCATCAGTATTTTCAGATGCATACTCTGCCTTAAAACGTAGAATCCTGACTTTTGGTTTTTGGTTGCTGGTTTGTTCTTTTCCTCTGTCTTTTTGGCTGCTCTTTTTTCTTGTTTCTGTTATTTTCCATTTCTTATTTCCTATCTATCCTCATACCCAGCAAAAGCTTTTTTTCTCCTCAGTTCAGTTTTTAAACAACTTTAAAGGAGGAGAATTTTTTGTTTGTTACCTGATGATGAATGTTTCCATAGATGTTTGTCTTATCTCTCCTAATGTGAATTGGTCTGAAAAAGGAACCATTATTTAGTCTGTGTTTTTGTAAGGCACTGATTGATATTAAGCAAAGGTGATCTTCTGTGTAAAATATTGAGCACTGAGTTAGGTAGGTATCAATTGTATAGCGTATGCCTGCATCACTGCGTTCTTTATTGCAAGATGATAGATTTTAGTCAAAGCATTATGAACTTTCTGAACAGCCACTAGAATTTAGCATTTTAATATTCATTTTACCTTTTTGTCTATAAATTTAAGGGAAGGCACTTGAATAATCAAAAATCTAAACAGCTGTCAGATAGCCAGGGCTTTAGGACCATTCATATTTTTGACATCTTTGTGAAGAAAGCCTGTTATTTTACCTGTAAGGGAGGTTGTGTCACATCGGACTTGAAAATATTTAAACATATTTATCACTATTTGTTTAGGAAATTTCAGTAGTTGTTGTTCCATGGAATTAAAGACTACAGAATACAAACCTTCAAATACTAGTTGTTCTACCTAATCTGGAATTTTTTATCTAGGATATAGGTTTGTGCTGTTTAAGTGTGTTCCCTCAGTGTTCAATTCTAGGAGTTGAATGCTCCGTTAGCAAGTTTGCCAATGATATCAAACTATAAGGTGCTGTTGACTCTTTTGAGGGACTTGTAGAGGGATCTAGATAGATTGGAGCATTTGGCTGTTAATAATGGGATGAAATATAGCAAGTTGAAATGCTGGATTCTGCACCTAGGATGGAGTGATGCTGGGCAGACATAAAACTGGGAGAGGGGTGACTGGAGAGCAGCCCTCTGGAAAGGGATCTGGGGGGTTGGTCAACAGCATGCTCAACATGAGCCATCAGTGTGCCCTGGCAGCCAGGAGGGCCAACTGCATCTTGGGGTGCATCAAACACAGCATCACCAGACGGTCAAAAGAGGCGATTATCCCACTATATTCAGCACTGGTGCAGCTTCACCTGGAGTGCTGTGTGCAGTTCTGGGCCCCACAATTTAAGAAGGGTGTGTAAGTCTTTGAATGTGTCTAGAAGATGGCAACAAAGCTGGTGAAAGGGCCGGAAGGAATGTCCTGTGAGGAGCAGCTGAGGACACTGGGTTTGTCTCGTTTGGAGAAAAGGAGGCTGAGGGGTGACCTCATTGCTCTATACAGCTTTTTGAGGAGGGTAAGTGGAGAGAGAGGTGCTGATCTCTTCTCCCTGGGATACAGTCACAGGATGCGTGGAGTGGCTCAGAGCTGTGCCAGGGGAGGTTTAGACTGGACATTAGGCAGCATTTCTTTACAGAACAGGTGGTCAAACACTGGAACAGACTTCCCAGAGAGGTGGTCCATGCCCCAAGACTGTCAGTGTACTGGAACAGACTTCCCAGAGAGGTGGTCCATGCCCCAAGACTGTCAGTGTTTGAGGCATTTGGACAGTGCCCTTAACAACATGCTTTAACTTTTGGTCAGCCCTGAAGTGGTCAGGCAGTTGGGCTGTATGATCATTGTAGGTCCCTTTCAACTGAAATGTTCTATTCCAATCTAGTCTTTACTGACAGCTCTGATTCAAATTACTCCTGCATTGTAGAATATACCCCATAATTGTTAGGTTCCTTTTACACGTGCATACCAGTAGTCATTGTTAGGATGTAATATATCTATAATAGAACTTTTATTCCCAGAAAACTTTCTTTTTCAAGCAATTTAATATCAAAATTACTTTTTTTTCTAGTGGTATGTTTTGGGGGTATTTTTTGTAGCTGGTTTAAAGTTTAAATCCAAAGAGAATTGTAGCTAGAGAAGTTGTTAGAAGCTCTGGGGCACCTTCTGAAGGTATTCAAATGCCTAGTGCTTCCCTATTTCGGCTGAATTTCATCAATAGTAAAACCACTATTTAAACATTGAAAATAATATATATTTTCATCACCCTGCCATATTGCAAAGCATGAGGTATATATGGCTGCAAAAAGGTAACTTTTCTGCCTTGTTACTTCCAAAGTTTAAGTACGTAAGTGTCCCTTCCTCAGGGTCTGTTGTGCTAGGGATCGTAGTTGGGAGGTGGATACGCTGCCTCTACCAAAAGTTTTCTTGCAATAATGGCTTCAATTGAACTATCTATATTTGGAAAGGCCTTAAGCAAGGACAACCAGTACTGAAACTACCCCTTTTTTCTAGGGTAGAGGCAAGGATAGAGACAGGCACTGTGAACATTTCACTTTTAGCTGTTATGGTGCAATATAGAAAGAAAATCCCATATATTCTTTCTGGTTTTGTTTTTTTTTTTTTTTTTTTTTCTTCATTGTGATGGTGCAAGAAATTGCTAATAAGCCATTTTTTTTCTTCTGCATTTCTGCAGTAACTGTAAGGGCGTCCAGCTGACTGCTCTTGTTTGCTACAAGACAGGTGGTAACATGATTATGTAGCCACAAGTTATTGCCTTGTGGTCTTCTAAACTGTTCAATTTGACAGCTTATGGTTAACTGCATGCTCTGTTATATATCTCTTGTTGCTGTATCAACTATGAATTTGGAGCAGGCTCAGCCTCTGGTGAGTTTTAAGGAGAACTGCTCATCTCCTTAATGTTATCATGCTCTGTTCTTTTAGAGTTTCTTGGATTTTGTGGTTGGCTATTTGCAGTTTGCTCTCTGTTTGCTGTCGCGTAAGCCCAAGGTTAGCAAAGAATGCTAATAGCATTTTTTCAGAGAGTTCTGTAAATACAGCTGAGAAAAGGTGAGATGAATTTTGGGAAGGAATAGGCATGGGTGCTGTATATCTGATGGTGAGCTCTTGAACACTTTTTTTTATGAACCAAATGGGAAAAGTTTAAATTGGTGAACGTATGTGTGATGGTTTTAGTCCAAAGTTATTTATGTGCCTGTTAAAAAGATACCACTTGACAGCCACGTGGTGTTGCAGGTACCATCCCAGTGCTACAGAGTAATTTTCAGATCTGCCATACTCTTAAGGTATAAGCAGCTACGTTTGAATTCCACCACTGTACAGTGAATGAAAGGTCTCCTGCTTCTTCTGTTCTGTGTAGCATCCATCATCCTCAGTTGTATGAAGACTGAATGACATGAAAAAGAAACTAAAACAAATTTTCCTTTGTTATGCTGCAAGTTAATGTGCATGAATTTTCCAATTTAAGTGTGTGTACAGGAACTTTGTTAATATGGCTAAAAGCTATTAGGAAATTAATTTTTTTTTCTCTTCCTTCTCGAAGGGTGGTAGGCATGTTGATTACGTGGTGGATCAGGTTGTGGGCAAACTGATAGAAGTGGTGAAAAAGAAGAATAAAGCTGGAGTTTCAGTGAAACCATTTCAGGCAAGTAACTTTATACAAAAATATTGAAAAATATGAACGTGTTAACTTTGAGTAAATTGGTTTCTATGTTTTCAACAGGTGAAGAATCATATATGGGTTTTTGTTAATTGCTTGATTGAAAACCCATCCTTTGATTCCCAGACAAAGGAAAACATGACATTGCAGCCTAAAAGTTTTGGGTCCAAGTGCCAGCTATCTGAGAAATTTTTTAAAGCAGTAAGTAAAGTGTATTTTTTTTCTTTGAAGCAAGAATTGACGTACTGGATCGAGTGTATGTATGTTATGCAGCAGAAGATTAATTAGTGCATTATGGTACTCTAGTGACATTAGTGTACTGTGAAAATGGGATGGAGGAACTTCTGTCCATTCTCTGGCCTTACTAGTGGACACAATAACTGTGCTTCGGCAGTTGCACTGGATTTAAAAGCGAGAATCACCTGACCAGCTCATTTGTTGGAGATTCTGATATTTATATTGGTGAAATGAATTTGACTCTTAAAACCTAGACATAGGAGGCCTTGACCAAATTTTTTATGTTAAAATACTTTTCTGAAGTTGAGAATATTGTGTATCTTATTATTTGGTATCAGCCTTCCTCTCTTTCACTAAAGTGAAAAGAGAGGGGTGGAACATGTCACATTTTCTTATTCTTCTTGTAATCAAGGAAATGCAGAATTTTGGCTGTAGTATTCAAAGTGATCATTATTCTCAGGCAACAAGTTTAGAAATTTTGGCTATAGACAGACTAAGAATTGCTACTCCAAATTAATGTATTAGTAGAAATACATGATAGAGGTTTCTCCTCTACCACGTTTCTATACAAGGAAGGAAAAGTAGAATTCTGTTAGCCAGAACTCATTATACTAAATTCTATTTGGTGCCAGTTGCATAACTGCGACTCCAGTAGTAAGGAGCATGGTGCCACTGCCAACCCTTTTGGCATCAAAACTTAACTTATTGTATAGTGTTTTATTCTTCTAATTCTGTGTTACTGGTGACATTCTTACAGAACTTATAGGAAAAAATAACACCACAAAATCTTGTATTCATTCTTCAGATTTTATTATATATGTTGTATTTCTATCAGTGGGTTTGGTTTACAGTGTTTGTAATATTCCCAAAAGTGAGCATTGATTTCCAGAGGTGTTCAATGTGCAGCAGGATCTCTGACCAGTGAGTGCTGTATGATGGGGGATAATGAAAAGTCAAAGCTCACAGTATTTTACTCTGCTTGTATTTTCTTTTGATGTGAAACCAAACTTAAAGCAGTATTAGTTTAGAAAATATGTTATTTTTACTGCAGATGTATTTCTTAAAATGTTATCAGTTTCTCAAATGATTGATAGAGAGTCTTGTTAAATGCTTTTGGTTGTGTTTCAGCCATTTTCAGTAATTTCCAAAGAAACTTTAAATGGTCAGAAATATTCCATAAGGTTACTTTTTGCTGTCAAAGTTCAGGAGGCAGGTTCCTTATTAGGTCTCAGTCCTCTTTTCCTCCTTCCTCCAATTCTAAGATTAAAAGAAGCTGTGTGAGTGTTGTGTTTTGGTTTTGTGTGTATAAAATGCTAGACAGTAAAGTATGTGTTAAATCCTTGAATTTTTATATGCTGAAGTTTTTAAAATCTAGAGGGCTTTGAGAAACAGTGTTAGATTAGTGACTTAAAATTGAGAGATAAGAATCTTCTGTGTGAAGCTTTACTTTTCTCATCCACAATTCTGATCTGTTGCTTATAGGCCTCTAACTGTGGTATTATAGAGAGTATTTTGAACTGGGTCAAATTTAAGGCACAAACTCAGCTGAATAAAAAATGTTCATCAGTGAAACACAGTAAAATCAAGGGCATTCCGAAACTGGATGATGCTAATGATGCTGGTAAGAGCACTTAATTTTAATGTCTTTAATGTTTCATAGATTTTTTCACAGACATCATAATTTTAAACCTGACTTTATTTCTCATTCTTATATATATTTTTTTAGTAAAAGTCTTGCTAGTTTTCTAAACTTTCTAGAGCTAGAATTAAAGCATGACGGTGAGTTTGATATCGGGAACACTGTCCTCTAGAGTAGAGAATTAATAACGCTGAACAAAAGCAGCAGTCGAGTTCCATATTGAAGAGCATGTGTTTTCTAACTGTGATTTCCAGCTGAATAGTGTTAGCAGTATTCTATTTTGGAGGTGACTAGTCTTCTTGACCTTTCTAATATGAAAAGATCAGAATCTTCATAGGGTTACAGGCTATAGGAAGTAGATCACATAGTGTGCAGACCTGAGGGAATGGCTCAAGAGTCTTTTTTCATGAGACTTTAAATGCCATTAGGTTCCTGTCTGGGAGTATAGGGCAAACTGGCAATCTCTGCTGGTTTACTTCCTAGCACAGATAGGAATCGGGATCAGCTGGCAATCTTTGTGCCAATAGCAATGGGATTGGAGTTGTCCTTGCATTATTTGAGGGGCACATGTGACTAAAGAGCTTGAAATGTTGCCAGTCTGTGTTAATGTTAGTTGATTTTTAATACATTTTTATATTAAGCAAAGGCAGAAAAATAGATGGATGGGTTAAGTAGGCAAAAGCAAGTAAGATTGGTAAAGAGGCTTTCTTTTTGATTCCTTGGGCTCAGGCTATTAATTTATTAAATTGAGTTTTCATCAGTATTTTAGATGTCATTTTGTGTCAAAAGTTGATAATCTGTCTCCTTTAACTAGTGTTGTGCTTGTGGAATTTTTATTCTTTAGTCAGATGCATGTTCCTGCCATTTTTCATACCTAGAAGATCATGTGCTTGGAGAGATGCTCTGTTTTTATGGGTATCAAGCCTCATGCTCATAAATAACATAATGAATAATTCTGAACACACTTTCTTCATAGGGTTTTTGTGGTTTTTTTTAGCTCTGCTTTGGAGACCAGGCTTCAAAATCACTTCTTACTCAGTGTTTTTCACTAGGGGTTGGGGGAAGAAAGAACTCCTAACAGAGGAGCTAATAAAATATTGTATTGCCTTTCACCCTGAGACTTCCTTAACTAAGAAGGCATGTAGGGATTCATTTGGGCTCAACACCGATGCTTAAAGTTTTGCATGGCTTGGATCCCTGTTACCCAGGTATTTCTCTTCTTCCTAGTTATTCCTATGTGGGGAGCAGGAACTCTGCATCTCCCAAGGAGACTTACCCAGGTATTAGTTTATTGAAGATCTGGAACATACTAGATTTCTCACATTGAAGGCTTTGCACATTTGGGGTGGACACACAGGAAGGCAAAGAGGCATTCAGTTTCTGAATACCATGTGTGTTGTCATATTTTCACTTGGCCTGACTTTCTGAAGTGTTATATATACTGACAGAGATGTTTTAAATTGGAGGATCACAAATAATACACTTAGTAAAAAGTTCTTTAGTCCTTTCTTTCTGAAGACCGAAGGTACCATATGGATCATCTGGTTGCTCTTGAAAATCACTAGGAATGTTTTGTTCTTTTTGCACAAGAACTGAGCTAATACTATAATCTGGATCTTGGACCTCAATAAAAAACTGCTTTCATTGAGAAAGGGAAGGCAGAAGATGATACAGAAGATGATACTCCTTCAGTGTAGCTGAGTGTGTGTTGATTACTCTGCTCTTGAGAACTGGTTGCAGTGCACTTTATTTGATGACTGCATCTGAGTGAAAGCTTGATGTTTCTTAACATAAGGTAAAAAAGAAGTCCAGATGCCATGGAAGTTCTTTAATGAGCACACAGACAAAATGCTGTTTAACTATCAATCTTTCTGTCTTTGGGATCTTAATAGAAAGGATTGAGGATTCTCAGGGCCAGGTGAAGTAAAGACTGTACGTGCTCCTGTGTGTGAGGGGTGATGATCACTTTTCTAGGTCCAAAAAATTAAACTTTTTGCCAAATGAATGTTTGTTATGAATGTGCACTAAGCACATTGTGAAGATTTACACAGTTACAAATAGTCTTTTCAAAAGAATTTCAAACCTCTCCATGAGCTGGAGAAAATGTTTAACTGATGCTTGAAGATACAGTTTCAGGCAGATTGCTTCAAGACATTCATACATGTCACACAGAGGGTTATCTGTAATCTGTACAGGTCAGTACTTGGTCCAGTCCTATTCAATATCCATCAGTGACTTGGATGAAGGGACTGAGTGTACCCTCAGCAAGTTTGCTGATGACACTAAACTGGGAGGAGTGGCTGATACACCGGAAGGCTGTGCTGCCATCCAGTGAGATCTGGACAGGCTGGAGAGCTGGGCACAGAGGAACCTGATGAAGTTCAGTAAGGGCAAGTGTAGGGTCCTGCACATGAGGAGGAACAACCCCAGGCAGCAGTACAGGTTGGGGGTTGACATGCTGGAAAGTAGTCCTGCAGAGAAGGACCTGGGAGTGCTAGTGGATGACGAGTTGGCCATGAGCCAACAATGTGCACTTGTGGCCAAGAAGGCCAGTGGTCTCCTGGGGTGCAGTAAGAAGAGTGTGACCAGCAGGTCAAGGGAGGTTCTCCTCCCCCTCTACTCTGCCCTGGTGAGACCACATCTGGAATCCTGTGTCCAGTTCTGGGCTCCCCAGTTCAAGAGAGACAGAGAACCTCTGGAGAGAGTCCAGCGGAGGGCTGTGAAGATGATTAAGGGGCTGGAGCATCTTTCTTGTGAGGAAAGACTGAGAGAGCTGGGTCTGTTTAGCCCAGAAAAGAGAAGACTGAGAGGGGAGCTTATTAATGTTTATAAATATCTACGGGGCGGGTGTCAAGAGGATGGGGCCAGACTCCTTTCAGTGGTGGCCAGTGATAGGACAAGGGGCAACGAGCACAAGCTGTAACACAGGAGGTTCCACTTAAACATGAGGAAACACTTCTTTACTGTGAGGGTGTCAGAGCACTCGGACAGGCTGCCCAGAGAGGTTGTGGAGTCTCCATCTCTGGAGATGTTCAAAACCCACCTGGACACTTTCCTGTGCTGCCTGCTTTAGGTGAACCTGCTTTGGCAGGGGGGTTGGACTAGAAGATTTCCGGAGGTCCCTTCCAACTGCTACCATTCTGTGATTTGGGACAAATAAATATTTGTAAGGATCTGAGGAATTCCACTTTCAGAAGCACCTCAAATCAGAGGAGGGAAGAGAGTTGGCTTTGGTTTCTAATAGTAGGTGCCAGTAGTAGTTGGACTGAAGTAGAGTGCAGCTGGAAGAGAACAGTGTCTGTCCACTGACCCCTCTGGCTTTAATTCTTCCTGTGGTTTTTAGATTTTATTTTCACTTCAGAAGTGAAGTTGTAGCTGAAGTCCAGCATCCATCCACAGGTTTCTTGAGTGCCAGATACCACTGAATTTTTAAATCAATACTGGTTACCACTTAGGAATAAGAGAGAGATGTATCCGTACAGTGACATACTCACTTCCTTCTCCCACTGAAAAGAGGTGCTGACTCCTATATCTGGTCATTCTTACTTTCTTGGGATCTTCATGAGGTACACATAGTTCTATGGGCTTGTTGAAGGAGAAGTAGAAATGAAAGGAAAAATTGAGAAGCAGGAATATAAATATAGGATTGTAAGGGAGCAGCTATATTACCAAATCTGGTAATGTATAGAAGCATTCTTTGAACCTACCAGTTCATGTAGTTTTCTCTGAGTTTTTTGGGGCTGTGTTAGGAAAATATGTGGCACATTTTGTTTCCAAGAAATTAATTGCTAACGATCCCATCTATTCCAGAAGAAAGTGTAACTGGATGATATTCAGATGTGTTTTCTGCAGTTAATTTAGGAAAAACACCCCGGTCATATTCTCAAACAGCAGACTAGTATTTTTCTTGGTATTTGATTCTGTGTTGCTGACAGCATGGTACCTATTGACACCTTTTGCTACAGTGTGAATAGCTGCCTAATTTCTATTGTATTAAGCCACATGTCTGATTCAGAAGACCAAAGCTGTTGAATGTAAGTTCTGTGTAATAGGAAGTGCAGGGTTGTTTTTACCTACCAGGTAAAGGCACATCAAAGTACCTATTTTAAATGCCAATATATTCAAAACTGTCTTACCAAGAGTAGATAAGACTCAATCAGCTTGCAATTTTTTGCAGTCTTTCCTACTGCTTAGCCTTGATAAAATAACCAAACTGCTTAATGACCATTTGCATCCTTGGAAAAGGGTGGATTCCTTTTTTGAACCTGCTTATTATTTAGAACATCTATTCAACTGCTGCAATAAACAGAATATACATGTCATACCAGTTTTGAGCACAGTGGACATAGGCACCAAAATGCAGTATGTCTTGTAGAATCAAAATTACACTATTAGTAAAGGTTTGTTTCTTCCGTTCAGCAAATTTCTGAGAATGTATAAGAGCAAATGTTTGATCCTTTCAGCTTTTCTGTCAAGTTTTCTTACAGTTGCCTGGCTTCAGCCAATGGACAATAAAAAGATACCCCCCCAAAATGTAATTTAGTAAATTACTTCTGAAAAATATACTGTGAGAAAAGGGGAAATGCAGAATGGGAAATGACTCCTGTGTATTACTCAGACATGCATAATGTATGTGTGTAAGAAATTTGCAGGACAAAAAAAATGAAATGGCAAAGGTACAGAAGCAATCTGGGTTTTGGTTTGGGTTTTTTTGTTGTTGTTGTTGTTTTGTTTTGGGGTTTTTTTGTGCAGAACATGTGGGGACCATGATATAAGATGTGCCACCATTGCATCCCATTTTGTCTATTTTAGTTTGTGTCCATAGTAATCTGTAATGCATTACTAAGGGCAAGAATACTCATTCTTGTTGTGTAGTTTTAGTGGTATTGAGGGCCATCCCTAAAACCAGAAATTCAGCCTATTTAAATTACCTGACGTAGAGTAGGAAGAATATTCATGACTTACACAGTTGTATTTGTTATTTATGTTTAAAAGTTAAGCTTGTTGTTTTTTGCCTTGTTTCTACTTCGTCCTGGACTGTAGGTGGCAAACATTCCTTGGACTGCACATTAATATTAACAGAAGGAGACTCTGCCAAATCTTTAGCTGTCTCTGGCTTAGGGGTTATTGGCAGAGACAGATATGGAGTATTCCCACTCAGGGGTAAAATTCTCAATGTTCGAGAAGCTTCTCACAAACAGGTAAATCTTGTCATCTCCTTTTAGTTGACAAATGGATATCTCTTGTTTATTTTCTTTATTTCTAGGGTTACATCTTCATATTTTAATTTTTATTTTTTTCATTAAAATCTTGTGGCTGGAATGTCATAAAGTACCAGCTACTTTAAAGCCAGGGATAAGCATGGAAATATTATGTGTAGTAGTGAATGATAAAGTTTGTTTCCTCACAAATGCAAGGAAATTCTGCTATGACTCATATTAACATTTTACATAAATACTTAAATAACCTAAAATTTTATATTCTCTCTGTTGCCATGTGATTTTGTTTATTCCCAAGTGTGAGGCAGCAGCATTACCCTATTTATTGCATTACTTCTGCTATACTCCATACTTTGTCCGTAATAGGAGTTGTGTTATGGACGTCAATAGCAATAGCGGAAGGAGAAGGCAGCTTTGTGAGATGACTTTTTCTTACATGCACTTTTCTCCCTGCCTTCTGGACTCAAAGTGCTCTGTCTGTAGAGGAGAAACGGAGTGGTGCAGTCTTGGCAATTTGCATGTACAGAAGTATTTACAAGTGTAAAAAGAGGGCTGGGGATAAAAAGGTTATGAATTTGAGTGCATTGAAAAAGTAGTTATAAAGCCCACCTAAAAAAGATTGGGATATTCCTGAATTTCTGCTTTTTACACTGACTGCAAAGATGACCTTTTTATACAGATTATGGAAAATGCAGAAATCAACAACATCATCAAAATAGTTGGACTACAGTACAAGAAAAGCTATGAAGATCCAGAATCTCTGAAAAGTTTGAGATATGGAAAAATTATGATAATGACCGATCAGGTTAGTCTGAAATTCACGGGGTTTAACATGCAGAGCTTCTTAAAATGTGGTTTGCTGCAATTTGGTAGGTTGCTTTTCTGTGCATTATAGCCTGCCTCTGTGTTATGACAATATGGATGTATTCAGAGGGAATCCCTAATGTGAGAGGTTACTTTGCTGCACAGTAGCAGAGATGCCAAAAAACCCCCCCAAAACCATGTATAAACAAGAATGCTTTTGATAACTGAAAAATATGTTTAAAGTAAATACAAAATTGAAGAGTAGATGAGGTAGTAACACTAGAAAGTCTGATAGAGACAAGAATGCAGACAATTATTTTTGGATAATCTCATGAAGTGTGTGTGTATTGTTAAGATTTCAGAAGTGTAGGAATCCTATGCTTTGGATATTTGTGAAGCTTTGTTACTTTTTCCCAAAGAGGTTGAACTATCAAGTGTCTTAACACCAGTGAAAACCGTGTGCCAGGCTTGGCTTTCTTCCACAAAGGTTCAGCTCCATGGTGCCTAGGAGAGCTGTCTAGCTCTCAGAGAAAACATGCCACAGGCAAAGAAACCTTTGAGCTGCAACTGTGCAGTTGGCTTGGAAGAGCTTATTATTAGCTGAGGGATAGTGCTGGTCAGAGGTGGCTATTTTATACCCAGGTCCAGTTTGGAATCCAAATTAAAACTAACCGTCCCCTTCTAAGTTTTCTGTCAGCAGACATTGTTTTGATGTATCCAGGCCAGTGAGTGGGTTGTTTGTTGGGTTTTTTGGGGGGTGTTTTTTGTTGGTGTTGGGGGATCTGACATTTTATAAGATTGCTTCATGTTTTCATGTTCTGATTTAGGATCAAGATGGATCTCACATAAAAGGCTTGTTGATCAACTTTATTCACCACAATTGGCCATCACTGTTGAAACATGGTTTTCTTGAGGAATTCATCACTCCTATTGTAAAGGTATGGGTTCTATTCATGAGATTTTATGTATTACTTATAATGCAACAGTAAAGTTGATTAGTTTTTCTTTTTCTTTTTTTTTTTTTTAAGGCAAGCAAAAATAAGCAAGAACTTTCATTCTATAGTATTCCTGAATTTGATGAGTGGAAGAAGCATATGGAGAATCATAAAGCATGGAAGATAAAATACTACAAAGGTTTGTTTAAAAACAAATAAGTGAACCTCATGGATCTAAAAATACATAATCAATGGGTGCTATGAAGTTTTATTTGTAGCTGTTCTGATGATAGTATCTTCTGTAATGATTTTATAATATTCCCAGTAAAATAAAAGGGATAAAATAATAAAACTTAAATTTTTAATATGGAGTAACTGTTTATTTTTATTGTACAGGTTTGGGTACCAGCACTGCTAAGGAAGCAAAAGAATATTTTGCTGACATGGAAAGACATCGTATCTTATTTCGATATGCTGGTCCTGAAGATGATGCTGCCATTACACTGGTAAGAACTTATAAAAATGCTTTTTAGTTTCCATTGTTTGCTGAAAATGGCATGTGGGGAAGTCCTAACAGGATCTTTTTTGGAGTAACTGAAAAAGATGTTTTTGGGACAGAAAGAAGCTTTTTGGAAAAGACTTGAAATTTTGTAATAAGAGCTTTATCCACACTACAAAATCAGCTCTACCTTCTGCTTAGTAGCTTTGATAATTTTGTCTGGTGTCAATATCAAGAAACATTGTATTCAGACTTGCTTTTAAAGACACAACACACAAAGGAGTATTCTGAGAAATGCAATAGAACCCAAATAAATGTTTCACATCTACTTAGGGATCTAGGAAAACAAAAATTATTTCACATAGCAAATTCTTCAACCTTATGAATAACAATTTTGCCAGCAAATAAAGTCTTAGAATAGCAATTTTAAGTGGAGAAACAAAACAAATTTTATTCTATTCAAGAATACTTTTCAACCTTTTTGTTCTATTAATACTATTTTTATTTTATTAAAATAATTTTTATGCTGATTCAGCTCTTGGTCATTGGTCAGTTTGGTCATCTAGAAAAAGTGTAGATACACTGAAAGGAGCTAGAAGAAAATTTTAAGAATTTAGTCACGTTTTTACTAAACCTTCAGATGGCTGATACTGTGTGTGAGTTGTCAAGCTTTGTTCACAAAGGCAGTCAATCTGAGAGTAGGTTTAGATTAGATATTAGGAAGAAATTCTTTACTGTGAGGGTGGTGAGACACTAGAACAGGTTGCCCAGAGAAGTTGTGGATGCCCCTCCCTGGAAGTGTTCAAGTGTGGATGAGGCTTTGAGCAACCTGGTCTAGTGGAAGGTGTTGCTGCTCGTTGGAACTAGGTGATCTTTAAGGTCCCTTCTAACCCATACCCATGATGCAAAACAGGGTGTTATCACTTAGTGCCTTTCTCAGAGAGTAAGTTACTATGGTTTACTATTTATTTTGTAATACCATCGTCTCCAGGGAAATTAAACTACTCATTGAGCTCTTTTGGAATGCTCCAATTAGAGTCCTTTAAAAAAAAAAAATAGCACTGATGACTGTCATCTTACACAGGAGAGTGGTTGAAATCAGGGCATGATGGAGTCTCTGTATATTATTCCCTGAGAAAAAAAGCCGGTACTTCAACAACTCACAAAATTTTTAGTTGAAATTTCACTTGTACCACATACTTAGTTTTTATATATTCTTCTCTTAGTCTTCTGGAGAAGAAACTCACTGGAGGGGAACTCTGTTTCTGTAACAGGACAAAGTCTTTCAGAACACTCCTGTGTCTTCTTGTAGTGATAGAAGATTAAGACCCTCAGTCAGCTCGCCTAAATTCTGGCTTAGTCTTTTTATGCAGTGTCAATTTTGTCAAGTTGACAATTTTCTTAGGAGGACTAGAGCCAGCCACTCAGGAACATCTACAAATTTTTGGCATTCTGTGGCTGACAGAGCAAACAGGGCATGGGGAAGACAAGAAGAACGGAGTATTTTTTCTAATACCTTCAGTTAATTTTCTTGATGACAGCCGGTTATAGTTCAGTCTAAATGATGAGCCCAACCTTAAAATTATTTGTGGAAAGATCCAAACACCTTTAAATTTGTATATCATAGGACAACTCTGATGTGAAGAAAGGAATAAGAATGATAAGATTTGTCTAAATGTGTACAGGTTTCAGGAAAGTCATATAAATTTAAATTACAATCAGTGAGAAATTGGTCACTTCAAAGTCTTGTGCAAGAATGTCTGCAAGGTCATGTGCTTGTACTGCTGCTTAAATGTAAACATTAGTTATATGAATTATCTTGTCCAAATAAGTATTATTGAGAATACTTGTTCAGATAGTGCTGTACACTTAAAATTCTAACTAAAGTAACATAAGTTTACACAAGCATATGTATGCTGATAATTTAGTGCACTTGGAATCTTTTCAGGCCTTCAGTAAGAAGAAGATTGATGACCGAAAAGAATGGTTAACGAACTTCATGGAGGACAGACGACAGCGTCGGCTACATGGCCTTCCTGAGGTGAGTCCTGAGTAATAGTAAAGAATCTGGGGAGTGAGGTTTAAATGTAATGTAATTTTTGTATTGAATGAATAACGCATGTGGTTTTTTTTCAGCAATTTTTGTATGGTACAGCAACAAAACATTTGACTTACAATGACTTCATTAACAAGGAGCTGATCCTTTTCTCAAATTCAGACAATGAGAGATCTATCCCTTCCCTTGTTGATGGTAAGCTGATAATTCATTATGATTTGTTGGAATATTCCTCTTCATTCTTGGTTGTTAAACCTGTGATTTGTATTGGAAATCATTGCATCCCAGTAGAGATTATAAGAACTTTTATATTTTTGTTATAATTTATATGCTAAGGAATTGCCATGTTTCTTCTGTGAGGAAGTTTAAGCTGTAACCAGGCCTATTCCCTAGACCATAGAAGTGCTTTGTTTCTAGTCAAACTGTCAGAGAAAGCAAGTCTCTTAAATGCTTATAATAATTAAAAGCCAAGTCAGCAGCTGAGTGCAGGTGAAGGTACAAGTGTTCTCTCCCTTCAGGCTTATACCACAGGCAGTGTTTTAGTGGTTACTAACCTTCCCTGTAATCTTGCTAGGGTTCTGTTAATCAGGTTTGCTAACTCTGCTCTTGCAGTAGCCTGAACATTAAAAGAAGCAGCTTACATGTAACACTACAGCTTCATTTGTAAAACTGTCTGCAGACAGCGCGAGCAGGAATTCCTGACTATATTATTGTCACTATGCATGTGCTTACTAAGATACAGAATAAAGGCCTTGGGGTTTCATAGGATGTGGTGGTTTCACCCACAGTAGGACCATGGGGTCCTGCACTCACTCCCCCAACCCGGTGAAATGGGAAGGGAATCACAACAAAGGGGGCATGGGATTAGGAATGAAGGACAGGGATGGCTCACTCACCAGTTATGGTCACGGGCAAAACAGACTCAACTTGGGGAAGAAAAATCAATTTAATTAATTACCAATCATCCGAGTAGCACAGTGACACATAACAACCACATCTTACAACACCTTCCCCCCACCCCTCCCTTCTTCCCGGGCTCAAATCACTTTGCTCCCGATTTCTCTACCTTCTCCACCCCAGGGGACAGGGAATAGGGGTTGTAGTCAGTTCACCGTGGCCGCTCTAGCATGAAAGTTCAAGAACAAAGTGAACTTCCCACGGAGACATAGACCTCTTTGGGCACAGCTCCTGACTCCCACATGGGGACATCCACGGGCTGTGGATGGGCCTCCAGTCCAGCGCACCTCCACCCTTGCCTGGCTCTGTGGGTCCACCCCTGCTCTGGCACTGAGCGTCTCTTGGGGTCTCAATTGCATCACACTTGCCCCTGGGCTTGGCTTTTTGCTCCAGCATGGAGTCCTCCATGGCCTACACATGGGCATCTGCTGTTGGACTTCCATGGGCTGCAGGGACCTCCTTTGCTTTCTCCTACTCCATGCGGTTGAACTGGGTGTCTGAGGTTCTCTGTCCTCCCTCTCCTCCTCCTTCCTCCTGACAATGAAACTCTCCCTTTGCTTAGGCCAATGGTTGTCTTTCATTCAGGTCAATGGCCTCTCCTCCAGCTTCTCTCCACCTTCTTCTTTTCAAGACAGTCCTTCCCCTCACAAATACAGATTCACAGAGGTGTTT